AGCCTCTTCTTAAAGATCCCCAGGGTAGGGGCCAGCACCATCTCCCTTGGAAGTTGGTTCCAGCTCCTAGCCGCCCTAACTGTGAAGTAGTTTTTTCGGATGTCCAATCTGTACCTCCTCTCCATCAACTTGTGCCCATTACTCCTTGTTATGCCAGCGGGGGCTAGGGGAAACAGCGTCTCCCCCAAACCCTTCTGGTTCCCCCTAGTGAGTTTATAGACGGTCACCAGGTCCCCCCTCAGCCTTCTCTTGCGGAGGCTGAATAGGTTCAGGTCCCGCAGTCTCTCACTGTAGGGTCTGCCCTGTTGTCCCCGGATCATGCGGGGACATGACTTCTTGACTTACCTCTTGACATTCTTGACTTACCTCCAGCTTTAACGTAATGTTGCAGGCTGGGTTGACTTGTAACATTAATATTAATGTTACAGGCTGGTATTGGTAAGTTCAGCTATCACTTTTGATTTAAGATAGCTGAAAGAGACAGGTGAACACATTTTTGTGAACACAGATATTGACTTGCTCATGGAACTGATGGGCAGGATACCCTGGGAGGCCAGGCCAAGGGGGAAAGGAGTCCAGGAGAGCTGGTTGTATTTTAAAGAAACCTTACTGAGGGTGCAGGAACAAACCATCCCGATGTGCAGGAAAACTAGCAAATGTGGCAAGCAACTAGCTTGGCTTAGCAAAGAAGTCTTTGAGGAGCTTAAACACAAAAGCTACAAAAGTGGAAACTTGGACAAAAAACTAGGGAGGAGTATAAGCGTATTGCTCGGGCATGCAGGGGTGAAGTCAGGAAGGCCAAAGCACAATTGGAGTTGCAGCTGGCAAAGGACATGAAGGTTAACAAGAAGGGTTTCTTAGAAGTATGTTAGCAACATGAGGAAGGTCAGGGAAAGTGTGGGTCCTTTTACTGAACTGGGGAGTCAACCTAGTCACAGATGATCAGGAAAAGGCTGAAGTACTTGATGCCTTTGTTACCTTGACCTTCACAGGCATTGCCATGGCAAGAAAGTTTGGTGCCCTGGGCAAAGCTTACAGCAGCAGCCTGTCCTTGCCCTGCACACAGATCTGGGGGGCACACCCCCCCCCATGCTTCCCCGGGAGTGCATGCAGCAGTGGGAGATGCCCTTCCCCCGTCCCTGTGCCCCACCCAAACAAGCCCCTCGCGGCTCCCTTCTGCGCCCTGCCCTGGCTGGGCAGCGTCTGTTGGCGCCTGGGGGTGTGCGAAGCGGGTCCAGTTTGATTTGGATTTGGCCAAAATCAGGGACAGTGATTCAATTTGTCGATTCTGATCGCTGTCCCTGATTTGATTCAGCCAAATCTGAATCTGAAGATTCAATGCTGATTTGGAGAATCAGTGATTTGGGCATAGACACAGCCTTAAATGTTTTTTCTACATACCTTGAGGTATCAGGTATGGCTCATGATCGCTGCGATGCTGGGGCAGATGGAGCGTCCCACAGGAGTGTGGGGGGGCCCTCCATGTGCTCAGCAGTGAACCCGGAAGTGGACCAGGTCTGCTGGGGAGCATGCTGGGGGGCCCCTGTGGCTCCCCGGCTCAGCAATCAGTTGCAGGGGGACCCTGAGTGCCCCCCCAGACCCAGGAGGCACCAGTCACTGAGCCAAGGGGATGTGGGGGCCCCCCTCTGTGCTCCCCAGCGGACCCAGAAGTGGACCAGAAGTGCTTCTGGTCCACTTCTGGGTCTGATGCCAAGTGTCCTGGGGAGCCCCCGCGCTTCTGTGGGACGCTCCATGCGCCCCAGCATCACAGCACTCACGAGCCCCTGACACCCTGAGGTATGTAGAAAAAGCATTTAAAGCTGTATCTACCTCCAAATCATTGAATTTTCCAAATCTCTGAATTGATTCAGAGAGTTCTGATTAGATTCGGAGAGCGAAGGGTCCTGTCATTCGATTCAGATTCAGAGATTCAGCCGCTGAATCAGGCCAAATCTCCATCGAATTGAATCAGGGACTGAAGCTTTGCACAGCCCTATTGGCACCCCTTCACTGCAGCGTCTGGGGCCATCGCCCTGCTCAGCCCGCTTGCTATGGCACTCGTCACAGGCAAGGTCAGCTCCCAGACTACTGCACTGGGCAGCACAGTTTGGGGAGGAGGTGAGAAACCCTTGGTGGTGAAAGAGCAGGTTATGGACTACTTAAAAAAGCTGGATATGTATAAGTCCATGGAATGGCATCAGCATTGCCAGATTTCTTCACCAGCTTCTCCTCCTCACTGGACCCTGAAGTCCCCACTCTTTGGCTAGTGTCATGTCAGACTGGGTGAGTATCCCAATACTTAGCCAAGTGCTGGATAATTATCTTCCTCTTCATCCCTGAAGTGGTTTCCAGTTCGTAGTCCTCTCAGGGTTTTAAGGGTTAGAGACCAAGCACCCATTTCTACACCTTGTTCTTTGTACTGTATTCCTATTCCTGCATGTGCAGAGCCCAGTGAGTTTCACTGCAGGAACTGGTATCCCAGGGTGCCCAGAAACAATGTAGGTGGTATAGAAGTGGAAAGCAAGAGGTTGTGGGAAGCATCTGATCAATAGTGCTGGGCACTGGGTCTCCCAGAGAGAAGGGAGAGTTTCTTTGGTCTAAATACACAAATATAGTTTGACACCTTTCTCTCCCCCTACCATATGGTGTTCTTGTCTGAGGTGGAAGGGTTTTGAATACAAGTGCATGGTAAAGCCTGAATAGGACTTGGTACAGTATAAAAAGGAATCCAGGTTACTGTGTAAAGGAAGGGGTTGAATTCAGCTCTTTGCAGAGAGCTAGGGAAAGGCAGAGTATTTAAATTCCCCTTTGGTGTTGGTTAAGTGATGCAGAGGGGGATTGCTTCCAGCTGAATCTGACTGAGCTGTTCTCCACGGTGAGACATTGCCTCTTCCAGTACTAGGACAGCATATGGTGTCCCTTAGCACCTTGCTTTGTATGCAGCTCCCTTCAGCACCCAGAGGGCACCTTTGGGAGCGAGTTGAGAGAGGTCCAACTTGGGGCTATTATTCATCACTTCCCCAGCTCGCCTGCATAAAGCTGTGTCTTTGACTTGCATTGGGATTTGTGAGGCATAGCGGATTGTACTGCTGAGATCAGAGGCTGGTTGACTGGAAAGGGTAATTAAATCCTAGTCAAAATGAACAGATGACAGGCTAGAGATGCCAGGGAGCAACATTTCCCCAGACATCCTTATCTTGGGACACAGTTTGCAAACTCTCCTTGCACAGACTCATTTGGACAGACACATCTCAGCTGGAGCCAGCTTTGGTCTTCACCATTTTAAGCCTAATACTAGGGTATAACCATTTCCCTCTGTCTCTGACATGACACCCCTGATACACCATGCCTCTCAGACTCCAAGGTCATGCTCCACACACTCATTTGCTTAGGGGACTGCTCCATCCCCTGTAGTTAGCACATGTTATACATGTTATAGCTCTGTCATTACCAGCCTCCCATTTTTTCTGCCTCCCATTTTTTCATTCCCTGGAAGGGTTGGCAATGTCTGGGAGTCCATTCCTGTACTGTTCCATGACACAGCAAAGCCCTTCCAAACAGCTCTGAGGGCACATGCATGAATCTTAGCTTCAGCAGTACAACTGGCTCTTATTTTCAATTGACAAGTTTGAAAACCCCTAATTCTCCTAAGCTTTTCATGAAGGAGGATGGAATTTATTGGAGAAATATCTGAGGTAGGGAGGGGATATCTTAGGCCTTGTCTACTTTGCTGTCATGTGGTGTGTGGGGCCACCACAAGAAACACGCCATGCCTACTGCATCTGGCTCAGCCCATGGAAAATCCTGGAAATGAGGCAACACAATGGCTTCTGGGCACCCCTGTGCACCTGTTCTCCTGTTTTCTCTTAGATGTGCTTCTTTGCATAGACCTAGCACCATGTTAAAGCTGCTGTGCTGTCTCCTGTCTGAAAGTGGCTTATGCCATGTGGCAGAGTGGTCATGGCATGCTCTTTGCCAGTAGTCCTCAGGTAATATCAATTTGGCTATAGTTTATGCCAGTTCTTCTCTAGTATCCCAGCCTTTGCCAATGAAGTTTAGCTATAACTTGCAGCATTGACACACTGAGCATTCGTGTGCGTGTGTATGTATGTTTTTAGATTTCTTCTTAGTACCTGGAGCTGCTTAGACAGATCAGTGAACATAAGAACGGCTATGTGGATTCATCTACACATGCTATTAGCACAGAGCAATAAACTCTGGCACATATTGCACCATAATTTATTGCTCCCAGGCACACCATTTGAACATGCACCCATGATTGCAGTATGTTGAGCTTGGTCAGAGCAGCCCTGGCTGGCAGGAGGTTAGTCTGCCAGCCCAGGACTGCTTGAACCTAGCTCAATGTGCTGTGCAGGGAGCTGGCTGGGGCATGAGTCCTCCATTGTGGGGCTAGCAGGAAGGCAGCCTCGTGCCCCAGCCAGCCATGTTGGTGTCTACACATGAGCTGCTGCAGAGTAAAAAAAACTCTGTAGCAGTACTATCCTGTTGTGGCCTAATAGGGCCTCACAAGTAGACACGATACATTTACTGCAGAGCTAATTAATCAACTCCACATTAAACATCTCATGTAGATGTGCCCTGTGAGTAGCAGTTATAGGGTTGCTTTGGCTGTGTCCTTTGCCTATGGGTTTTGAATACAGGTCATAGCCAGAGCAGGAGGGAGGAAGCTGTGAATGTCCTAGCCCAGGGTCATGACAGCTGCCACATGCCCTTGCTGTCCTCTGCTGACTTCCTTTTGTCAGGTTAAAATATTTGATGACTCAATCCAAGGTTGGAAGGAGGGTGGATGCATAGCAGCTGGGGACACATGATGGTATTAGTCAAGTTTCTCCTGTCTCTCTAGATACACAGTATCTGGCAAGCAGCACCATAAGCCCTTTGCTCTCTCTTCATCCAAATATTCGTTCAGTACAGAGGTTGCCAAATGGATTTGGCTGGAGTCAGTACTCCGTGAGGAGCTGGAGTCACTTGCTTTGTTGCAGCTTATTTATTAGCTCCTGTTTGTGTGCGACTTGTACGATCCAAATGCTCAGAAGAAATAAGATCAGTTCAGCATGTCTGCTCTGCCAGGTGAGTAATGTCAGACCATATATTGCTACATAGCCACTAACATCATTCTTTAGGGACTAGACTGCTGGACAGCACTGGCTATAAAACTGAGAGGCTTTTCTTGTTCCTTTTTTGTTTCTCTAGAAGAGAGAGTCACTCCATTCGGGTAGTCACACTGCTCTCATATATCCTCCACAAAATATGGAGCAGATCCTGCTATTAAGGTCTCTCTTAGTACTTGGAAGGATGTTTTCACTTTAATTTATCTGTCCAAAGTGGTGTAACTAAGTAGCCTGGCTTCTTAGCTGAGGGAGTGTCCAGGTCTGGAGAGTTTTCGAAAGTGCTCTTTGCAATTGAAGTGCATTACCTCTTGGTCGTGCCCTGCGCTGGCTTGAAAAGAGATGCAAGATGCTGTGGAAGAAGGAAGGTGTCATTAAAAAAGACGAGCTGATGAGAGAAATGAAATAAATTTGGGTGTGGATTACTCCAAAGAGGGACTAATTATATTCAGAAGAGCTGTTTTTATATCAGATTATGAATGATTTTGCTAAATGGCTCTTGAAATTTTATAGAGAACCAAGAGGCTTAAAGTCCAGGTAGTGCAACAGTCTGATAGTACATAGCACTTTTAGGCCACAAACATTCTTATCAAGAAACTGAGGTTTGTATCCCATTTCAGAAACCAGGTCCCCTGCATATATGGTCTTGCTGCAAGAACAGATTGTGCGCGTCTGTGCCTGGGTCTCTGTTTATGTGGTAGTAGCAAGTTTAAGTATGTGTAGTTTCTATTTGTAATGCTTAGGATGCAGGCACGCAGCATGCATACAGTGGTATAACTCAGCAGTTCTCAACTGGGTAGGGGACTGTGGCCCCTTGGAAGGCTGCAAGCAGATTTCAGGGCGTCCACGGGGCTGTGGATATGGCACAGTCATAATTTCCAAGGTCAGCTGAGACAGCACACGCTTGGGCTGAGCCCACTGCTGCTGCTGCCACCAGGTTCATGCAAAAATGTGGATTTTCTCCTTTAAAGGAGAAAAACGTGGGAAATGGTGTTCCAGTTTGCAAGGGGCTGCTTGGGGTCAGAGGGAGCGGGAGGAGGCTTATGCGGCAGGGGGCACCAGGTGCACGTGTGTGTGCACACATGCACATGGCAGCCAGGCAGTGCTAGAGAACAGCTTCCACAGCTCCCTGCAAGTAAGATACTAGGGGGGGAGGAGGCATAGGTGACAAGTTGTGGGGGGGTGGGGAAGGTCACGTGCCCCTTTCACCCCACAGAATCAGCATGCACAGTGAGCATGAGGCTGTAGCCTGGCTGGATTGCCCTGGTGTGGGAGGGTGGAGTGGGATGGCAAAACTCTTGCCGCTGCCACTGCCAGGACTCCTGTGCCAGCCACACTGCCAGCAGTGGGAGGAGTAACAGATTAGGTTGGGGGTGCTGCCCTCCTTCTGCTGTGGATCAGGAGTGAAGGGCACTGGCAGGGCCAGAGCACTTCAAGTTGGGAGTGAGGGGTACCAGCAGACCAGGGAGCTGTGGGTTGGGAGTGAGGGGTACCAGTAGGGTCAGGGGACTGCAGGTTGGGAGTGAGGGGGGACTCAAGTCCAAAAAGATTGAAAACCACTGGTGTGACTGATATAATTGGCATCAGTGGGTACACTTATGGTATTTACATTGGTCAGATGACCAGCTCTTTGGAGGTAGACTCTTACCACTAGGTGCCAGAAAAGCCAGCCATAGGCTCGTTCCAAGGAGTTCATATGCTGTTCCGGTATTGGAATTAATTAGAGTTTTGCACACAATCTGTACATTGGTATAATTTACACCAGTGGGGGACAAGCTTTTTGGGAGGCGTCCCACAAAGTAAGCCCCACACCCCTCCTAGTGCCATTCAGATTCCCTTCCCTTGCCAGATCTTCTGCTTTGCTTTCTGCTCCCTTTCCTACCTGCCACTTTGTTCCTTGCTCCCTCACTGACCTAATGTGTGCCACAGAGAGTGGCTGCCCTTGCCACTTGTTGCATGTGTGCTATGGGTTGGTCACCCCTGATTTACACCATTGCATGATTTCTTCCGACTTCCTGAGGGGAAACTTCACCTCAGAATGGAATGACTTAGATGTAGAGTTGTACATCACATATCTGATATAAAGGCAAAGTATATCAGTGTAACCATTTTGTGTGTCCTCCCCTTTTGACTGATTTTACTAAACATCCCTGCTGCGACAGGGACCCATGATCACTTCCTTATACCTTACAATGCAGGAAGACATCTCATTGCTTTTCTTTTCTCCCACATAGCGCTCCTAGCCTGAAATTAGACGCAAGCACACCAACAAATTCCATTAGCAGGCATTTTCTAGATTAAACTGCACTGTGGTATGTCAAAGAGCAGTACTTCCTTGAGGCACTGTAACGTTATTTCGCAGAACTCTATCATCTCTGATATCCATGCTGGTTTGGGGGTTATTTTTGTTTTGTTTTTTAATTTTATTTAAGATTTGCCTCTGAGTTGATGCAATTCAGAACAATGCCACCATATGATCCAGTGTCTCCAACACCCAAACCACAGTTCA